GCATGTTAAGATCCACTTGATCCAAGTTTGGCAGAACCCCATCTTATCCATCATTTTCACCACAAATTGCCATTCCACTCTATCGTAAGCCTTGGACATATCCAACTTTTAATTTAGAGCCATAAAAGCATTCGGACCTCTCCTCATATTATTCAAACAATGAATTGACTCATGTGCAACTATGATGTTATCAATAATCTGTCTTCCAGGAATAAAGGCAGATTGGTTCATACTAATGCAAGACTTTAACAAAGGTTTTAGCCTATTAACTAGAATTTTCGAAATGATCCTATAAACGACATTACATAGGCTGATTGGTCTGAATTGGGACACATAGACAGGGTGGTCAATTTTAGGGATGAGAGTTATCATGGTATCATTTATAGCACTTAACAGGTTCCCTGAGTGAAAGAAACTGGAAATGGCATTAAGAAGATCATCTTTGATGATCATCTGGTCCAGGTGCTTTATAAGGTTATAAGGAGAACACAGCTTTTCTGATTTCCACTTCAGACACAGGCCTCACGAGCTTTGCATTCATCTGCCCTGTAATCACTTGAGGGATTCCATCCAAAATGGAGTCAAAGTTCTGAGGATTAGAAGAAGTGAAAAGTTCCTTAAAATACCCCTCAATCTCACCCTCCACCTCCTCCATAGAATTGCACCAGTTTCCATCACTTTTCTGCAAGTTTGAGATAGTATTCCTTCTCCTTCTCCCCTCAACAATGGCATGAAAATACTTTGTATTTTTATCGCCTTCTTTTAGCCAACTGCTTCTAGCCTTTTGAGCCCAGTACACTTCCTCTTTTCTGTATGCATCAGCCAAATCCTTTCTCAATGCAGCTCTTCTTTCACCCTTATTTGCCAGATTACTCTTTTGCAGATCCACCAGCTCCTGTTTTACCCTTTGGATTTGCCTCTTAGCATTTTTATTTTTCTGTCTATTCCATTCCAATAAAGCTATCCTGCACTCTTTGATCTTATGCTGAAGTTTATAAAATCTTGAACCATTCTGCTCTTTACTCCAAGCCTTGCTGATTATGTCCCCCACATCTGGACTTTTGAGCTAGTTTCTGTCAAAATAAAATCTTTTCTTCCATTTTTTACATCTCGGTTCAGTATCAAGCAACAACATGCAATGGTCAGATGCTTCATTCTGTATGTGTAAACATTTTGCCTTTCTGTATTCTTTTCTCCATCCTCTACTCCCCAGGATTCTATCTAGTCTCTCTTTAATCTCCCCTTCCTCCTTCCAGTTATTACACCAGGTCCAAGGAGCCCTCTCAAAGCTAAGTCTATCAGCTCATTAATTCTAATAAAGTCCCTGAATTTCCTGAAGCTACTCTCAAGTCTCCTAACACCCCCCCCCCCACTTCTCATCATTATTTACCAAATCATTCATATCCCCAGCCAACACCCAATTCCTTCCCCATAAAACCTTTCTTTCTGAGATGATTTTCCATTGTTTTTCTCGTGCTGCCTCATTACTACTGGCATAAACACATATGAGCCACCACTGAGCCTTCCCACCTGTCCCATTGATCTGCAATTCTATAGTAAATTCAGTAAATGAAACTTTTCCTACTGCAAGCTCTTGCTTCCACATAACTGTCAACCCTCCTGATTTACCAATTGGATCCACAACAAAAAGCTTATCATACCTCAGTTTCATCATTACTTTGTTCATAAAGCATTTCCTATTTTTAGTTTCTGACAGAAAAACCACCTCTGGGAAGTGAAGATTTATAATCTCCTTGAGTTGAGGAACTGTCAAGGGGCTCCCAACACCTCGACAATTCCACACCAGAGCCTTCATAAAGACTTTGGAGCTCCATTTAGGTTGGGTTCCATCACCTTCAACATTGTAATATCCTCAGATTCCATAGCCATTATTTTACCCCTTTTCTGACCACCCTCCAACACCCCCTCATTTTCCTTCCCAGCATTACCTTCTTGCTTCCTCTTAGTAATCCTTTTTTGGAGCTCTCCTCCAGTATTTTGCTCACTGAGAGGCTTCCTTTTGCCTATCTCTTGAACCAAGCTTTTCCAACCTCACTATTCTTATATAGTGAAAGTTTTTATTAAATCGATTTAAGCATCTCACCATTGTTATATAGTACTTGAGAAGCATTTATCTCCATAATTCTTTGAACAGTTTCCCCGAAATTGGGAGACAAATGAAAGGATAGTTTCGATATTGTGCATATTATATACATCTTTTTAGCTTTTGAATTGTACTTCTCAATTGCTCTAATCTGGACAAGAGAACAAGAATAGCAAGTCTTGAAGAAACAATGGCTCAAACACTCTGCAAAAGTGTTTAAGTCATCGTTATTTTATCATTATCTAGAAAAGTAAGGAGGATAAATTGAAATCGACCACTTTTTATCTAATAATTGACTCCATTTTGTGAAGAGTCGAGACAACGCTATGACAAGTTCAATTGCTCACCTATAAATACTCAACTAATATTTTGTATTATATGATACATATTTAAGCAATTTTTATCAAACAAACATGCACATAGAAATTTTTTTGATAGCACTTTACTTTCCCTCTTTGTGTCGAAACTTCAGTTTCTTTGAAGAACACTTGTCCCATCATGAAAGGCCAATGCAGCAAATTGGTGTTTTCTGTTTTTTGAATTTCAGGGTCAGTTTTCTTATCCAAAGATGTTATCTTGGAAAATTAGTACACATTGTTGCAAGTAGGACTAAAACAATTGAATTTCCTGTCAGTTTTAGGGAATCTTGTATACGGTTTTAACAGAAAAGATTTTGTAAGGAGATTTATTTTTCTTTGACTAAAAAGGTACCGAGACTCTGAGCAAAAGGGATTCGTCAGCTTGAGGTAGGCTACAGATTTTTGGACAATAAAGCGTCTTCAAATAGTGATTAAGCCCAGAATTATGCAAACACAAATTTGCAAAATCACTGCTTACATAATCCGATTGACTTCAACATTCAAGCTCAAACATGAATCAACGTTTGAGAGCCATATGACATATTTATGTAAGAAAAAATCTTTTATGTAAGACAAGCACATCAGACTCACCAATGTCCAAAGTCGGTCTTACCGGAAACATGGTAGAATTTTGAGATAATAAAAAAATTAAAAAGACTAGCGGGTCATTCACTAAATTGGTTGAAACTGGTGTGAAATTAAGCTGTATAAAAGATTTGTTTTCGCACTTCTAAATCTGATCAAACAAACCAAAATGGAGAAGCCATATTGGATCTTGGAACCACAGTACAGATTGTTGTTTTGCTTGGGATGGAGTCACATGCCATGAGATTAATACTCACGTAATCTTGGGTGCCACCGGGCTAGCTCAAGGGGTAAGACTTTGTCTCACATTCCAAGCATCCTGCCATTGGCACAACTGATGTGGGATAAATTAAACGTATAATTGGTTTAGACCTCAATTACAGCTTACTGTTTGGATTGTTGTTTTCTAAAGTTTTTATAGAAAAATGTTCTATAGCGATTTGATTTGATGCATATAAGATAAAGAGATGATTGGGAAATGTATTTATAAAAAACGTAAAAATCTTTTGAAGAAAAATGGCGATACAAAAAAGGCAGTTAACCATTCATGAATTTCTAGACCGCAAAGTGGATTAACACAACTAACACGCCTCAAACTCTCAAGTACAAATTTTAGTAGCCAATTTGCATCTGAAAATTTTCGCTTGTCCAAGTTAGTTTTTGCTCTCTCTCTCTCTCTCAACATAATCCAAGCTTTTCACAAGTTTATAATACAATAAGTTAATCTACACGAACAAAAGTTACACATACATCGAAGTTAAAGTGACATACAACAAATCCTATATGAACTAAAACTAAAACAACTGCACAATTGCACCAAAATCTAAACTTGACTATCTCCAAACCCATAATTGATATCTTGAACAATTAATATATTATTCAAATTTATAGTTTAGTTTTTGACAGTAATAATGTGATAGGCATGTTTTAAGAGGCAAGATCTGGATCATAGGCCTCCATTGTTACACCTGCAATAGCAAAGTGCAGTTAATTGTTCACATAGAGCCAGCCCAACTTGGTCAGATTCAATTTAATTTTTTTATTTTAAAAATCAAATGGGGTTGACACAGCCTTCCACATTCCACGAGAACTTGATCAACTAGCTTTGAGCAAGTATAGTATGAAAACATTGGCAATCCCATCCTGCCTGATGACTCAGCTATCATGAGGAACAGTCCCAATATTGTGAATTACAAGAGATGCATCTTCTGCTGCTATCTGCCTATATGGCTTTCCTGGTAAACTTTGATAATTCATCCAAATGCCATAAAAAGTTACATGAGCAGAGCTTTATTGCAGTAATACATCTTGATGCAAAACCATGGAAAGAATATGGAGCTCAACTGAACAATAATACATCTTGATCCACTGCCATGGAAAGTCACATGATCAGAGCTTTATTACAAACTTGAAGGCTGTAAACTGAGCTTCCTTGCTTGGTATGAAGGCGCAGAGCGCTGACATATCCATCAATGCGTATAACATCTGTCATATCATGCTGAAGGACTTGTCACCTCAAAGTCCACATTCAAAGTAGATTTATTGCCGAATTCTTAAGTTTCCTTGAGAAAATGTCAGAAAAAAAAGTCCACGTTCACTTGTATCTCTTAATATTTGCCACTTTAGGTTACTTTTCCTAACATTACTGATTGCAATTTTTTCATTTCATATATTTGTTAATCATCATGTGTGCTGTCTGCTGAGAACCGATTTCATTCACCAATTGACTCAAAAGGTGATCATTTGAACAGATACTGCATGGTTGTAAAATTTATTTTTTTATCTTTTTTTTTATCTGATGATCTATTCCCTCTGTAAGACGTCATTTCTACAGGAATACACGCGCATGCGCGCGCACACACACACAGAAACAGAAACAAATACCTCAACTAGTTATAGTTGACAGGATAACCAAGTCTTGAATAGCTCGAGGAGTTAGAAAGTTTACAGTCTCTACAGAATTTGGCTTTTTTCCCCCTTTTGTAAGTGCCCTTATTTTATTGATATCAGAAGTAGGCGTACACAATTGCAGGAAATGTTAAGAAAAACAGTCTGTACAAGTGCCAGAGTATATATTCCATTAACAAACATGGACTGTGGCCGAGCATAATGCAGTCATTAGAATTAGCCTTTGAAATCTCCCATCCAGCCCCCATATCAGCCATAATTCTTTCAGTAATCATAGCAGGTGGGAATAGGATATTCAGGAATACCTTTAAATTCCTATAATGCCACAGCTCATAAACAACAGCAGCAAAAGCTATTTTTCTCACTGAACATTCATAGGATTCATCTGAACCATTTCTAACCATCCACTGTGGATGATACTATCAACCTTAGCTTGCTGGATACAGCTAAATAACTGCACGATACACATGGAATAAGTCAGTAAGAGAAGCCCCTAAGGATTCCACCAATCATGCCACAAGTACATATTTCTTCCATTGCCAACAATCATTTGTATACACTGTCTAGCTACAGGTCTTAACTTCAGCAGTTCGGTCCAATTCCAAAAGCCACAAGCCTAAGCGTCAATAGCCCAAAAAGAATAATCCCTCAGCATGCATGTATATGAACCAACCTTATCCCTAGGGAATCTTTCTTGTGAAAGATATCCCAATTGTGCCTGAGCACCAAGGCTTTATTCCAAACCACCTTCTTCAATGGTAGACAGGATTCCCTCCAGCCAACTTTAGTTTTAGAATGCTTGAGCTCAAAACCTGACCATAAAAAAGAATTCAGCAAGCTCTCTAATTTCTTTACAAAAGCAGAGGATAATATGAATATACTGCCCCAGTTTACAAATATGCTGTTAAGCACAGTTCTAATAAGAGTGAGTCTTCCTCCATAAGATGGCTTCCTGACTGCCCAGTTCTGGATTCTTTCCATCATTTTGTCAAGAAAGGTTGACACTCCTGCATAGTTAATCTAGTAGAAATAAGGGGGACCCCCAATTACTTTACAGCTAGAGTTACAATACGTATAGCCAGATCTTCACCAATCCTCTTCTGAAGCTCCTCCCCCACTCCAGCTAAAAATATTTCAGATTTAGACAGGTTTGGAATAAGGACAGGCATGTCTGAAAATTCTGCTATGGTCTTCTTAATCATTCGAATGATTTAGGAGCAGCAGAGGCCATAACAAATAGATCATCTGCAAAGGAAATATGTGAAATCCCAAGCTCAGCACATCTAGGATAAAAATCACATGCATCTGCAGTGATGTAATCATCAAACAACTGAGAGAACACCTCCATGACAATAAGAAATAGGTAAGGGGAGATGGGATCCCCCGGTCTCAACCCTTTACTGCTTGAAAAATCACCGACCAGAACGCCTTTGAGATTGATTGAAAATTTTGCAGTTGTCACACAGCATCTGGCCCAGCTGATAAACGGAAAATGCAGAACCTCTAGAACGCAGAATAAAGAAGTCCCATCTGACAGAATCATAAGCTTTCACCATGTCAATTTTAACCACACATCAAGCTTTACCCATTTTCAATCATAATTCCTCACCAGTTGATGCATCAAGAGGATATTTTCTGTGATAAATCTCCCTTTGAGATTGGCTTAAATTCTTGCTTTTAGTACTTTGAAATTCTAGGGCTTTGATTCTTGATCCACAATGAACGTCAATTTAGTCTTATCTTTGACTAGTTTACTACTTATGTATTCTCTAGATTCTGCTTTTCTCATGCCTAACTTGCCATTGGGTGTAACATTTGATAAAATTTCAGGCATTGGATTTACCAGCGATCTCAATGACAATGTTGCAGCACCTTGGCCTTCTGGTCATTTTGTTTCTGCTTCTTCATGCAACAAAACTAGATCAATTGCACCATCCACTTCTTCACTTCCTTTGACAGATAATATTACTAAACGTCCTCTAGGCTGTCATCTTGAGACTTCAGCCAGCTATTTTACAAGTTCTGATATTCTTTTCCTGTTTAGGCTCAAATTACACTCAATTGATTATAAGCTGGAAACTAATTACTGATTAGGATAGTTTCTTAACCAAAAGTTACTGACCTCAAATTTTGCTTCTTCGTATATTGCATGACTGTGCATTAGCTAGTTGCCATCTCAAACATACTCTGCTTTTTTGTTACAGAAGTCAACACCATATAAGATGACATACAATTGCATTGTCTTTTGCAAGAGGAAACTCCATCTGAGGTTTTTCTTCCATCCGTTTTTTTAAAAGAAAAATATCATTCCATACAGGTCTGATATGTTCATAGATGACTGCTGCCAAAGAACAGATAGAAAAGCTCAAGTCACATAGAGAAGTTCATGTAAGATTTTGTTATGTCAATTAATTTTAAATCTAAACGCTTAACTCCGGAAAGGATTCAAATGTTATTCTGATCACTCTTCAACATGCATGTACAATCCTATTCCCAATCAAAAGAATTCAGATAATGAATTATCAGTGCAATTGATGTTATAGTTTCTCGAAATGGAAAACCGGAAAAATCTTAGATAATGAAAGGGTTTGAATTGATAGAGTGAAATCACAAAGTTGGAGTAGAATCTAACTCCAAAACTTTTGGCATTATACCCCAAAACAGTTTCACTAATATTCCGGGTATAGTCAGAAGTAGTATGACTACTCCAATTCCAAGCAAGTATAGGAAAAACATCAACTAGCTAGGAATAGAATGCTAGACATGACACAAAACCGCAACTGTAATACAGCTAAGGAAGAAGCATATAATGAAAGTATATTTGATGCTGGTAGATAAGGCTTCAAGTTATACTTTTTTTTTTGGCAACTTCACCTCTATTGCAGCAGCAATTTTTTTTCCTTTCTACCTAGAAATAGCAAGCTTTAACCTACGAAAAATTGACAGTAACAGTTCATTACAACAGTCAGACATACAAAGGAAATTTATACATGGCAGTATCGAAATTATTACAATCATGTAAATTACTTAGCATTCTATTTCCGGCTCGGGCCCCCCAGAAGGAGGCCTTCTTCGCCTTTCTCCGTTGAAAGCTTTCTTCCAACACTCCCTGAACATGTCTAGAACTTCAATCCGCATAGGAAATTAGGAAAAAAGCTAGCCTTTTAACTTATTTGGTTTTCAGTAAAACATTTGGAATACAGGCATTGGTAAACATATATACCTTACAGCTTTATCTGGAAAGCCTCTTCAGAGAAAGGGGAAAACAAGACAACCTTCAATTGCAGGGAATGAAAAAAAAGAAAAGAAAAGAACACAAAATTCAGCTCATTCACTTTACAATTTAATAATGACATTGAATTCAAAAAACAAGAAAAAAAATAATTAGATTCACAGAAATCAAAAGGCATTAAAAAGAGAAGTAAAACAATATACGTAATAAATTACATTACTTAATTTAAAAAAGGGTGTAAGCAGCTAAGCACCTAAAGAAAGGTAGTTGGCAGAGAAAAAGTTGAACTCAATAAGAGAAGAGTTAGCATTGATTCCTAGACAAGCAATTCATTTTGGGGGAGCTAAAAGAAAAGGGGATGCTTTGGTAACACTAGAGGAAGGGGATAAAAACACTTACATGTCAACCAGTGAAGAATTTGATCAAACAGAGGGTCTTCCAATTCATTCTTCATTTTCTTTTGAAAAAATTGGTTTAAGGGAAACTTTGTCATTGGGATTTTCCCAGACTAACGATTGCCACCATCCTTGGTCACAATAGATTTCTATAAGAGGGTTGGAGGAGATGGCAGTGCAGTGGTAGTGGGAAGAAACAAAGGCAGCCTCCTTACCTTCGGACAGTCACGTACATTAATATACTGAAGTGATTTGCAAATCTTGGCTGCATTCCAGATGTGCTTCAGTTCTGGAAGCCGATTCAGATACAAACGCCTTAACTTCAGGAGTATGACAGTGGTGGTGGCTTCACTTTGAATTCCTTCTCCTCCACGTCCTACTCCGTCGTCATCCTCTGCTATCTCTTCCAGTCCTTCACAATCATCAACATATAAGTCATCAAGATTTTGAAGGCCTTGCAGCAACTGCACAGTGAACAGCTGCTTCAACTTGTGACATTTTGAAATCATGATACAGGCAAGGGAAGAAAAGGTGGCAGGTGGCAGAAAAGATGATTCTGATTCCCAATATAAGAGATCAACCAGATTCGGCAAGTCTACGAGTTTTAGCTCTTGTAGATTTTGTAGTGGATTAAAACAGGAGACTACCAACTGATCATGAAGAGGAGGCGGAGGAGAGGGCAACTCGATGTCATCTACATCAATAATGCTCAAATAAGACAAGTCTTTCAAACTTGTAAAGTTCTTAAAAACATCTGACAGGCACCTATTGCCCAAGCTAACACATTTCACAAGTCTTAGATGCTTGACATTATGTGGCAGAAGTAGAACAGGATTATTCGATCCTCTCCAGAAGTGACACTGACGGAAAGCCAACAGCTCTTGAGAATGACCATTAATGTATTCATCATCATGATCAAAGTACCCATCCTCAGGTAAAAACTCATTGAATTCAACAGTATAATGTTTTGGCCACCTAGAGATTTCATAAAAGTCATTAAATGGTAAGCATCCAGTAAATACTTCTAATTGGTTTGACACTTCTGGATCATTGACTTGTACAAAATAGTAGGGATCCAATACTAGCTGTTGGAGACAACTCAATTCAGAAAATGTCCCTTTTGGTATTATCACCCTGTGAAGATTTTGGCATTTGAGCATGTCCAGCCTTTCCAGGTTGACCAATGATTTCAAGCCTTGGGGTAAATCCTCAATTCCAGACCCAGACAGGTCCAATTCCTTCAATTGTGTAAGATTTCCTAATGGTGGCACAGATTGGAGGTGGATACAATTCTGTAACACCAAAGCAGTGAGACTCACCAGGTTTGAAACACAGTCAGGCAGCTCTTTTATTAATCTATTGTGTCTTAGATCTAGAACCTTAAGTCCAGACATGTGCTTAAAGAATGTATTTGGAATTCTTCCTATGTGTAGCGAACGAAGAAGCAAGGTTGAGAGCTTGGGACACTTTGGTGACATGCCTGGTGGAATTTCTATTGCACTTCCAATTGAATAGATGGAAAATGCATGGAGATCTTCTGTCCATTCTTTTTCTTCGAATGCCACTCTGGAATTTCCGATTCGTATGCTCTTCACCAAGAACCTCGGTACATCTCCGCTGATCTTTAGAGTAGAGTTTCCACTGGTGATCCTTAATGCCATACCTCTTATCAAATCATGCATTCTTACACACTCATTGCCCCTGTCATCTGTAGTTTCTTCCAGCAAGCAAACTTTTACTAGTTTGTTTAATATCTTATGACCTTGATCAAATTCTGCTAACCTTGAGCTTCGTTTAGGCATCAACTCTTCCCTAATGAAGAGATTTATTAATCCCTCTCTTGCTATCCTGCAATCTTCTGGATAAAGACAGCAATACAGGAAACATTTCTGTTCATATTTGCTTAATCGGTCAAAACTCCACTCAAGAATGGAAAAAACATCGCGTTGCATCTCATCATGCCCTATTGAACATGAATTCAATTGTTCCAATGCATTTCTCCACTCACATATGTCAGTAACACCTCTCATGCTCCCAGCCACAGTGACGATACCAAGGGGCAAACCGGCACACCTTTTGGCAACAGACTTGGCAATCTCTTCCACATCTATATGAAGCACTTTCTTGTCTCCTAGTGTATACATGAACAATTCCCAAGCTTCATTTGAATCCAGAATTTTCACTTCAAATATTCTCTGACACTGCATCCTGTCACACACTTCTAGTGAGCGAGTAGTCAATATCAACCTGCACTTGTTTGCATCAAGAGAAATCCCTGCCCTGTGTGAACAAAACTATTGCCAAACATCATCCAATATGAGCACTGTTAATTTCTCCAATCTCCTTAATGCCCCATACAATACATATGCCCTTACTACTTCATCGTCCTTATCTGATAAACAAACACCTAAGACATTGGCAATCTTTTCTTGCAAACTCTTAATACTGAACTCTTGAGAAATTGTCACCCAAAGAACTTGATAACCTTTTTGTAGAAGATAGTAATTGATGTGCTTCACCAATGTGGTCTTGCCAACTCCTCCCATCCCATAAATTCCAATGTTTGATATGTCATCGGTCACCAAGCATGGCCAAATTCTCTCCAAATTTTGTTTGACCTTTTCTCCAAACAATTTGGTTGGCAAGCATGACTCCACAATGTTGTCATAAGTATGGAGCACAAGCCCATTGAAGTGACGGCTCTGATCAATAAGTTCTTTCACCTGAAATTGCAGCTTCCGCACAGGATCCTCCTTCAATGGAAGCCTCCAAGATGATCTTCTTGTTTCCAGTGCATCGATTTCAGGATTTAAATATTTAACCTCCTTTAACCAATTGTCAACTTCAATTTTCCTTTTCGTTTTACCTGACATTTCTTCTCTCTTCACTTCCTCTTCGACATCTGATGCTTTGCAGCTCAACTCTTGCCAATTTCTTTTCAGCGTTTGCATGTTGTCCACATTGCTCCCTCCCATGCAATCTTCTACTACAATCTCCATGGTCTTTTTGGCGAGAGCTTTTCCAAATGATTGTATCATCTAGTAGGATTTGAGAATGCAAGAATGTGTCAAGCTTAGATTCACAAGGCAAATTAAAGCATATCCAAATCTTAAAATGGAAGAGGACATCAAAGTTAGCATGAAACTGAACTCAGTCTGCACATTGTTTTGTAAAGTTAATAACACAATCATGATAGATTTAGTAGGAAAATATATGTTCTTCAGTCAATCCAAAATTTATGCACCTATAAGCTTATCTAGAGTTCTTCCAACTGCCAAAAGTAGAATAGGTCATTCAATATTTGAAGAAATGTCAAAACTGTATCAAGATCAATCTTGTAAAACTTAGAAGAACATGAACTGTAAAACACTGAATTAATCAAGCATTTTTAGATCCTTAATTCAACAATTTCACTGAACATGACTTTAATACATTACCCTACTAATCATCCCACACCCTGTCTCCATTTTTCTCTTTATCTTTGTAAACTAGTTTTTCTTTTGATTTGATTAATGCCAAACATAATCAGAATCTGAAGAACAGTCAATGCAAATAAAGAAATCTCTGAGAAGCACTGGTTTTGTACTTGGTAGTGTAAATTTAATCCAATTGATGTAGCTAACTGTTGTCATTTTTCTTAAATGCAATGCGATGAAAATTTCATCAATCAAATATAAGTTCTTTCTTTCTCCCCCAAAAAAAATTTCTTTGCACGAGAACCACCTCTATCAGTCTTTCAGATAGACACTTTTTGTAGTATTCCTAAATATTACTAGGAAAAAGCACGTGTGATGCATGTGCATCTGGTGG